CCCCTGAGGCTGCCTCTGATTTGATCTGGACCTGGGCGGGAAGAGCCGGGGTTGGAACCTATCTGGGATGACCGGCTGAAGGGCGAATCAAACTCCGGTGTCAACCAGGTACTTTGTCTTCCATGTGAATTTCTCAACATTTTCCCCTCCGGCCCATGCAGGGCACAGCACATACCGGTCACACATGAATGTGATGAGTCCGCGCACCTCAGCGGTGAGCGTCGGTGACGCGGCGACCAGGGCCTCCCAGGCGGGAGCTAAGTCCACAGTGGACTTCTGACCGCTGGGACCGGCTCTAACCCGGGCCGGCCAAGGGTCAACCGTGCAGCATTTTGCTGAGTTCTGAGAGTCATTTCGGCAAACCACCACGTCTGAGGGGTAAGAGGGATCCCTAAATTTGCAGCCAGAAGTGAGGGCAGTGTTACGGGGGAGCATGCTCTTCACGGAGACTCCGCCCTGGGGAGCTGGCGCCGGCTGACCGCAACCTACAACTCCCTCCTCAGCCTAGCCAGGCGCCCTCTGGTGAACACCCTCTACTGGGCCGCGCCGGACACTGCCACTTGGCTGTCGCCTCGAATTTAACGGGGTCCAAGAGCTCAGGATGGCCACGGCTGACCTGGCTCCCTTCTGGCCCCCCGCTTCAGCAAACAGCACCCACACTCAGCCAGTCTGCAGGACCGGAACCCCAGAGTCACACTGACTCCTCAGGCAGCGCGGTCAGCCCCCCGGCCACTCGCCCAGGCCATGCAGCCACGCTGCCGTGGTCACGCCCGCTCTCCACAGAGTCCGAGCCAACCACACCAGTTTCGGAAATGGCTCCGGCCGCCGCTCTTGCTCCCACCGCACTCCTATCCACCCCCAACCCCTTTTGAAAATGGTGTAGTGACCCTGTCACCACCCTACTTAAGCCCCACGAGTCTCCTTTGATGGCGGAACGCTCCAGACCCTAACTTGGCCGAGTCAGGCTCCCCCCCACCCCCAGAAGCCCCGTGACCCCCTCCTCCCGCCCTCTGCTCTCCTGAGTCCCAAGGCCAGCTCCGTGGGACACACTCAAGTGTCTCTTCCCCAGGCGCTCCCCCAGCCTCCTGGCCAGCCCCCTCCCCACCCCTTTATCTTTGCTGGCCGCCCCCGCCCTCAACGAGGCAGCCCCTGGTCCTTCCTCTCTGCTTTTCCCAGGCCGGCAGCACTGTGCCACGCAGACGCCGGAAACTTTAAAAGGCTGGCACTGCCTTTCTGCCCACATCAGTCAGCAGCATGGGGAATTCAGGGTGCTTCCCAACCTCCCCCCGGGTGGCCCAGCTCCAGGCTCGCCACTCACCCCAGAAGCCACTGGCGGCCTCCAGGCACCCCATCAAACTCACCCTGCTCCCCGGAGCCTCGCACATTAACATCAGCGAACTTGACTCCTGTCCTGCTTTACAGGAAGCGTCAGAGGAGACACGACCCGAGAATGGAAATCCAGGAGCCCGGGCACTAAGCCACAACGTCCACCCGGCGGAGTCTGACTCACGCAGGCCGGGCAGAGGCTGGCCGGGACGCCGACCAGCACCTCTGCTTGCCCTCCCCAAACAGTATCCACCTGCTGTCACCTCGGGGTTCTGCCTGGACCCGCAACCTGGGCTGACAAAGCAGCCAAATCACAGGGAGGGTCTCAGGCTCACCCGGCAGTGCCCAGCAGGGGCGGGCTCAGCCAGGAGAGGCAGGGAGAGGGTTCCAGGCAACACACTCCCAGATCCTGGGCTTTTCCTCCCAACCTCGGGCTCAGAGGCCTCAGGAGATCGGCTGCCAGGAGGCAGACTGTCCCAGAGCTCGGCCTACGCAGGGCAGGCCGCGGAGGAGAGGCCCCTCTGGCCCTGCAGCTTCCGCACCGTTCCCAGGCCCGTTCCCACAGCGGCTGGGACGGTCCAGCCAGGCCACACGCTCCTGCTGACCTGCGGAAGTCGGGAGGCAGCATCGCGGGGCAAAGCTTTGCGCAGACTGGGGGCAGCATGCTGGAGAGCTGGTACCGAGCCCCCAGGGTCTCACCTGGAAACAGGCTCTTTCCGGACGTAAATGGCTAAGGTGAAGTGGGCCTGACCCCACGTCTGTCCTCACAGCAGGTGAGGGCAGTCCTGGGGGGCAGCGCAAAGCGGGGTCGGGGTGCACCGCCAAGCCCAGCAATGCAGCAGACACCGGGAGCCAGGGCGCCCTGGGGCATCGGGGGTCAGAGGGCGCCGGGGGCGCACAGCCCCGCCTGCCTGTGTGTGCAGCCACGGGGCGTGGTGGTCGGTGGGCCGGCCAGAGGACACGAACACACTGGCCACCGCCCCAGAGGAGAGGGAACAGGGCTTTGGGAAGGCCGAGAAAGGCTGCCTGGACAGGGCATCACCCCACCGAGGGCGAGTGGGGCCGCAACGCCCCTCATCTCGGGCCTCAGCCCTGGGGCTCCCGGCGCAGCACCCGGGTCCCACCGGCGCGACTCACTGGGGCCGGAGTCCAAGCCGAGCTCTCCCTCCATCGAGTCCCGGGGGCCCCACGGGTACGGCTGCTCCTCCTGCTTGATCCAGGACAAGATGTCGTGCGCCGAGATCAGAGACTCTGCTGGCGGGGAGAAGGCGGCTCAGTCTCCTGCATCTCGGCCGGGCGCCCCAGCGCTCGGAGCCACACACACGCGGGCCCCGGCTCGGGCCTCAGGCGCACGTGGTCACGGCACCTGCGTCTCAATGCTGGCCTCTCCGTCCCCGCTCAAGTGTCCTCTGGCCCCCATGGGGCCACTGACACCCCATTTCCCGTTGGCCTGTTCCAAAGTCTGTGCAGTGGCCAGGCCAGGCCAGAGCCCAGGATGTTGTCCGCTCAGCCCCACCCCCCAGGTCAGGCCAGGGAGGAGCCTGGGCTCTGACGCCGGCCCCAGGGGTCGCTGGCACAACTCGGAGGAGACACAGCTGTGCCGGGCAGCACAGAGGCCCCAGCCCCGGAGCCCAGGTCCCAGGCATGAGGTGCCCAGGCCTTCTCCGGTCCTGCAGGCGTGTGTGATCACACGTGCACCCCACTCACACGCATGCTCACGGACCCCGCTGCCCCTTTATGCTCCCCTTTGCACCGGGCCCTCCCCAGAAGTCTTCTGGGCAGCACTGGGCAGCACTCCCTCGAGAAAACTCGACGCTGCGACTCCTTCCTTTCCCACAGGGAGGCCACGCGTCCCACCGTAGAAGCCTACGTGGGCTGTATTTACTATTCAAAAACCGGCAACAGAATTTTCGTACCAGTCGGACGGACTCCATAAATGTCGGGTTTAGCGGCCTCCCCCCCATGAGGGGCTAGATCCCAAAACCCCACGGAGGCCCTCCTGCACGTCTGTCCTCTCGCGAGACTTTGACCCACGGACTCGCTGGCTGGTCCCGACAGGTCAAGGCCCGCGGCGCCCGCTCACCTGAATTGGGGTCCGTGGGAATATCCCTCTCCGCCAGGTCCTGCTGATCCCACACACACGGGGGCTCCTCCTGTTTGATCCGGGACAAGAGGTCCTGGGCCGAGGCTGGCGAGTCTGCTGAGGGGACGGGGCAGCCGAGGGCTCAGGGCGGGGCACAGCGTGCCCACGCGTCTGCCTGAGTGTCTCACTCCCCGCACTACCGCTTTGCTCCTGAAGTTTAGCTCGGCTCCAGACTTGCTTCCTCGTTTATTTATTTATTTTTTTTGCAGAGAACTGCAGTACAGGCCTGCGGTGTGGGGGTGAGCGGACTCACCAGAGACAGAGCGGGGAGCAGAACAGCTGGGTTTCAGCTGAAACCCACTGTTGAGGGGAGCAGCGGGGAGACAGGA